ATATAATGAGCACTCATGAAAGGGTTAAGGGCCGAAAATAGTGACTACCCGTTTCTTCGTGCAGCAGCTACCTTAATTAACAACGTGAGATTACACGCGGGAGGAATATCGCGGTAGATTTCGTTCGTCATTTAATTACCGATATATATAGGGTATCAATGTTTGTTGTAACGTAATAACGGAAATATCACGGTAAAACGATTTGTTGACACAATTTCGTAAAGGACAGACGAGCATCTTATCGCGTCTTTATCGTACACATTCACTATAAATCCAATAGAAATATCGTTAATGATAAGTGAGGTAAGATTGTACCAGAGGAAATAGATAAATCCTATGAATAGATAAATTCTCGACGTGTAACAAGATAGAATAGATACATAATAGATCGATTTCTAATTTCTTTTTAAGCCTCCGCTACAATGATTCTCGGTTCTGTCTACAATAGTCGTACAGTTGTATCGATGGTCGCTTGAGCAGTCGCAAAGCAGTCGTAGTCGTAGTCGCTCGAATACGTTCAATTCCTATTCCAACGACCACGACTGCGTTTATTGCCGCGACGGACCAATCAGAGAATAGTGTTATATGTCGTGTGTCATTATATGTCGAATATATCGTGGGAAAATACCTCAAAAACAGAAAATCGGTTTCAGTTATACATCGATACGACCCAATCCATGACTCTACGATTCTAAGACTGCGACTATTGTAGATAGAACCGAGAATCATTGTAGCGGAGGCTTTAATCTTTTAACATTAGCTTAATCTTCCGCCCTTTGCGACAATCAATTTAATGACCGGTATCGATTAAATCGAAGCACAAAATAAGTGCGCCTCAATCCGGAAGCGGCATTTCGTCCGTTTTGTCGATACTGCGTACAATTATTGGAACCGCAGATATACTTTACATGTTCGGTCAGAGAATCACCGATAAATACTATTTACTCAGGCCATGAAGTTGACGGATATGTCCTATCAAGAGCGGGCTCGTCCGAGGGAATATTTACACCATTCATATTTTATCGATGCAAAAGTATTTCGAAGAAGTTCCTCACAGTCGTTAGATAACACAGGGAGAAGTGTGTCTCTCGCTAGATCTTCGATAAATTGCGGGTAACGATCAAAATTGAGCTTGCCATCTACGTAAATGGAAGTTAAATGTTTTCCACGTGCATTATAGATTCGTCTGTCAATTACAGTGTATACTCTCGACAGTATAGATAACATTCCGATAAAAATGACACGTGGATTTCTCGTGATATATCGCCGATAATTGTCCTGCCAATCACTGCCAATTCATACGTTATACCTTCAATAAATCTTTGAAGATTTATTTAAAGAAATGTGTATATACATCTTTCCTCCACTTTGACATCTCTATCAAAAAAACTGTTTACGATACTTAACTGCTCTGACTCTGAACAACTGCGATTTGATAGCGTATAAATTTACTATAGACGCGTAATTTCAATTGCATTGACAAAGATACGTTTAACGGATAACGACGATCGAAGATTACAAGATTTAATTTTTAATTTGCAAACGAGACGAGCAGCACGCTTTGTTCAAGTGGACGGTCGATTGCAATCGTGGAAGGAGCGATTAGAACGAGGATGAACGATTATGTTGGATAACGATCGTATATATAATATTAAAGAATAATATCAATGTCATTGAATTACTCTCTGTTAACCTGCACGATACCATTGATGATGCAATCGCGCGCAATGTAACATATACATAATCTTATTATCGAGAAGTGGCTACGGCGGCGAAGCATCAATGTAGATCTTTCGACCTTGGATTAAACGATTGGAAGATAGTCAAATCAAATACGTCACGCTATGATGGGCACGCGGAAATCCTCGTCTCGACCTATCGCTTTTCAGATAAAAGAAGTTCATAGTTACATCGATTTAATAAAACTTGCACCCGTATGTTAAAACATTCGAAGAAACAGAATTGAACATAAGAAGTCTCTCTAGTATAACAAAAAGAGAGTGTGAGAATATATATGTACATTAAATATATGAGAATATATTAATTATTATATCTCGAGAAAAGGGAGATATTTAAAATCTGCAAAAATAAAGATATACATATTGCAGAATATAGAAAAAATATATTAGAAACGGGGTGATTCTTCGGGAAATAATATTTGTGAAATTAGGACTGCACACCAATCTTCGGTCGACAAGTTGCGCAATTAATGTTTTTAATTCCTTCTCGCGCGGTTGAACTCCTCAATTAAAAATCGATCGGTGAAAGTTTATCGACAGAGTTTTATAGTATCACCAACTTTCATCTGCACGTTTGTGCGCATATACATTAATTGATTGTCGGAAAGATTAAAAAATAATAGACTGAGCTGTTTCTTTAATTACGATGCATTTAATTTCGTTCACGATACCATTGTTGTTTGCATTCAACCGCTTCGGTCGTGATAGATGTCAAATAAGCGGAAAGGTGCGCACCGAAGGAAAGATAGCATGCTACTGTTTCACGAAGACCATAAATCCTGGCAATGGCGGGCGATTATCTCTCTCTCTTTCTCGCGGTAACCCGTGTTAACTCTACACATTTCGCGGTGGAGAAAATGAAATACCGCGCGACGTGCGGTGTGTACAGGCTGCCTGGCAACAGGTTGTAAAAATATTTTAGAGCGGTTACGTATTCGCGCGACGCTGATTGCTGACACTCTGTCGTTATCTTAATCACAAGTTCTAGTACTGTTACTGGCGCACAAGTGCTATCATTGCTGCTACCAGTTACGGACCGTAGTCTCTGTCGTTAAATATCGTCGCTATTATCAGTATTTTATTGCTATCATTATTATTATGTTCGTTTCGAATAAAAATTCGGTTGGTTGCTTACGAATAACGTTAATCTTGAAATTAATAATTCTACTTTCTCCGATAAGGTATTTATGTACCGATACATCGTGTGGAAAAGACTGAGAACATTTGATAATAAACTGATTGATATATAGTTATTACAATGATAATGTCGTGATAGAAATGGCAATTAAAGTTAAAACGATGTTTCATTAACTGTTAAATCGTGTTATTTTATGTGATAGTCTCATCTTTACCTGTTCTTTCTCTATTTTTATAGGATTACTTTCATATTTTTAGCAAATTTATTACTTATGTTATTACGAACAAGATATTATTAAAAAGTCACAAAAAGTTTAAAATTTATTATCGCGAAGCAAGTTTGTGTTCGAGTTTGCTAACTACATAAGTTTGCCAACCACAAAAAATCCGAGAAAATACAAGGAAAAAGATGCAGCGAATACATTGTGTCAATAGGAGACAGTGAAAAGAAATGTCGGTGTTTAGGATTCGAAAGGAATAAGTTATCTCGAACTTGGACCGATCCTTTATTCGCACCATGTTTGAGAATTTGCATCGAAACAAAGCTCACGCGTGGCGCCGCGGATCCGATTCCTTCGCGCCAGCATGCATTTGGCATTGACACGTGTGCGAACTCAGTGAGTCGTGCCTGCGATAGCGCCGGCTTTTTCCCGCCGTCTGTAAGTCGTCGTTACGTCGAGCGAGGTCGTCTCGCGATTGCTAATCGAACGTGTGTGATAAGATTCCCGCGAAATCGTGAAGCGTACGCACCCGTATTTTGCCGGTCCTTGACTGGGATACATTCGAACGGACGGTAAATCAATCACAGAGAGATGTTACTTGCGTCAACTCGAGAAAGGATACTTTTCGTAAAGCGACATTAATTGACACCGAATTTTTTAAAACAAGCTTGTGTCTGAATGATGGGAAATCGACTTTTAAACTTTTTCCTACACGGAAAAAAACATTTAGCTGCTGTAGCTAAAACTTGGTAAAATAGGGACAGCTAATATTTTTAGTTGTGATAGCTCAATATTTTGCTACGACAGCAAACCGTTTGCTGTCGCACCTAATATAATAGGCACAATTCTATATACATAACACTATGCAATAAGAAAATAAAATAAAAATCGCATGTTGCTAATAAGTGTCTTTACCGTCACTATCTTAACTCGATGATGTCCCGAATGTTTCGCTCGATTAATTCCTATCATACTTCAAAGTCTGGTTTTTTCAGCGAACAATTTTTAATCGAACTTCACTTAAGCGAACTTCACGCAAGCGCATATAGATATCCACGCGACCCTCGAATGATATCACACTTCAAATTATACATAATTACAATATACGATGACCGTGTCTGCAAATAAAACTTCTTATCAGCGTTATCTTTGCACTTCCTCTGCTATGTGCGACGCGTGGCATTACGCAATTCGTTACGCTATCGAAATCCTAAGAAGCTTAACATTCCCTCCGCGTAACGTTATCGGAACGATATATAGTTTATCTGGTTGTAAACCGAGTAATTCTGTAAATTAATTTTAGATTCGTATATTTTTCTTTTCTTTAATTCGCAAGTCTAACTTTTCAAATATGTTTCCGTAACGCTTCTAATATCCCCTCGTAAGTCCTAAGAGAGAGAAGTTCTATAATATCGTTCAATATAATTATGAATCGTTAAAATAATTGGATAATTTTAGTTTTCTTTGTACGATTTTGATTAAAGTCGTATCACTTTATTGATTTCACCGGTGTCAGGGTGACTTCAACGTCTTTTTCACTTGAAATGATTTTTATACAGAATGCTTTATCCATTTTAATATAATGCGTTTCTGCAATATAGTTTTATTTTGCAGTATATTATTTAAAGAGTTTATAATCTCTCACCCCCCCCCCCCCTCTCTCTCTCTCTCAATTTCTCTGATTGCACGATCACATTCGGTATACCAGGTACAGACATCCTGGTTGCGGCTCCAGGGATCTCGGTTAATCGATCATCAGCGACACTTCCAGCGAGACGGATGAATAGGCAGAAAAGAGAAAGAGATAGAGAGGGGAGAGGAGGGTGCGAGAACTGTCTGTCGAAGGAGCAGGGAAGGACAGACCCGCAAACACGCGATCCAAGAGAGAATGTTTACATTCCAGGTCACCCGATTACACGAAAGGCATCTTCCAAACCATCGGCTTCAAGGAGTTTCACACTTACCTCATACAGTCCGAGGAGGAACGCGCGAGCGAAAAGGTAAGCAACGAGCGTGAGACGGCTCATCGATACGTTCGCGTAGCCGCGATTGCCGTTCGCCTCGGCAGCTGTTTCCCCCGGTCATTTTTCTACCGTTAAAATGCACCGCGCGACTCGCAGCGTAGTCTACCTCGCGGTCGTATCGCGGTATCTCAGCCTTCGGGCCTCCGTCGCTTTTACCCCTTTCGTTGCACAGTACTCTCACGGTTGTACGTCGCGGCTTTTTACGAGCTTCTCCAATTTTAATATCGCGACAGAAACCATTCGCAAGAGCTATCAAAAGCTGCCGATTCCAACGGCTCGGCGGGATTGTATCTCCGGTGCAATTATAAGAGAAAATAAAGCGGGAGATGTATCGCATTTCGACGAAAGTTATACGAATAATAGCAGCAGACAAATTACTATTTTACATCTTGAACGCGCACCGCGAATGATATTTTATGTACTGATATTTTTATGTACTGATATTTTTATGTATTTCTTACGTAAAATTTTCACGCACAACTTTCTTTATTGCTCGGCTTCACATAGTTAAAATTATTATTACAAATAAAATCGAAAGATAGTTGAATTGCGCTATTGTGCGAAAATCTTCGTTTTACGTTTGAGATATGTAACTATTACTTATTAAACGAGAAATCGATATCTGACTAAATTTATGCAGGGGAAAAAATTAATGGAACAAGGAATCGATGATTTAAAACTCGTCACTAGGAGATACGCAAAGAGGCAAGAGAAATGGGTGATGAACAGACTGATTCGGCGTGGTGATCGACAGGTAATTCATTTACCTCGCCTCGTCATTAACGATATACCTGTTTGTACTGTAATTATCAATTTGATTGAAATAACTCGATCCATCTTCGTCGCGTAAATAATTTTTTTTTCTCGGAGTACACAAGTAACTAAATTGAGTAAAGTATAAATCATACGGACTGCTCTGCTTTTTTTTCGAGGTTCCCCCTGTTTATTCTTTAGATTGCACCGACGTGACAAACTGGGACAGTGGCGTCTTAGAACCTGCGACAGCAATCATTTCCGCAATATTGCACGGCGCAAAACCCAAACAGCGACCACTAAACGAGAATTTTGAGAATCAAAAGACCACCGATAGTAGTACAAATATATATAATTATTGCAAGGTAATAATATGAAAAGTAATCCTAACCAGTTACTTAGATACGATCGAAATAAAATTTAATACACTGTGTACAATTGTTTAAATGTAATACTTCCATAATATTAGCTTCTGTTTTGCTTCATTTTATACTTAACAAATTTCATTGCGCAAACAATATGAAGATTTCATTATTTAAATTTATGTTGAGGATAATCGAAAATTGATTCGTACGAATCCCGCTTAGTTAATATCTTTTTAATAAAACTGTATCATGCTTCTATGTCTCAAAGTAATAGATCTCTTTTGTTGTATTAGGTATGTGAGAGAGTATTTGTCGAAGAGAATCAATGGCAGATTCACTTGAAAAGCGCGAAACATATGAGGGTCTTGAAAAAGAAGGAAAGAATAGCTGCGAATATACAACCCCAGAAAAGTCACAAGCTGATTAGCTCGTGACAAATATCAATTTCGCTGTGACATTGTACGAATATTTTTTGTGTTTACCAAGCCATTAAAACTGTGATTATCTGCATATTTTGGTAATAATTATCCTGTAAATAATTATTTGAAAATAAAGTTGATTTTTTTTAATCTGGTGCACCTTTATTACCCTCCATAGGCAAATAGAAATTAACAGACTTAGCAGATGTTAATTTGCTTACCACTTACAGATACAACAGATTTCTACTATGTCTCACAAGTAACTTACTTCTTGATGGTATTTACAAACCGACTGTAAGAAATTATTTAGTGCAACACGTCATCTAGCTTTGATAACATTTATGTTTTAAAAACTTTTTCAAAATATCTGAAAGATATTATAAAACTTTTGTTCACAATTATAAAAAGTGCACTTATTGCAGTGTGATATAAAAGAGGAGATTATAAATTTATTTAGAATAAAACTATTTTATAACGTATTAGATCTTATTTTCATAAAGGTATTTTTTATATTTTTTAAATTTTTGTTAGTGTTGAACAAACATGTTCATTTATCATATAACTTTGATATGAAGCATTTCTTCTTTATATTCGAATATTTGAAGCAGAGAGAAGCCTGAGAGCTGCCACGACCCGGTTATACATGAACCTCGAATGGTACAATACGCCCTCTGTGGACATTGAAAACATGAACATGAATTACGTAGCCAATGTCCATGTTTGGGTTAAGCGGATAACGCAGATGTGCACGTTTTGGTTGTGTTCCATGCTATGTATATTAAACTAAAAGTGGATGTCAAAACAAAAATAGATATCAAACTCCTGTGCTTTTTAGTTTAACATAAATGACTTAATATTCTAAGTTTTCGAAAAGAATTTTCTCTGTACTGACTTGCGTTGATTTCGTTTTGTGGTCAACATACTTTTGAGTTTCAATGTCCTGCAATTAAACTTTTAGATTGTTGAATTCCTTGAAAAGGACCACAACCCGTATGGTCGAAACGTCGAATTTAAATAAAGAAACCATCTGTCAGCCTAAAGTCGTCTAATAATTTTTTTTATCGTTAATCAACTACTGGCGATTCACATTCTTTCATTGCTGACGTATAAATTATATGTATATATACTTGCAAAATATAAAAATTTGCTGACAAGCTACGTTCTACTCCTTTTGCCAACAAAATTTGCAGTAGATTGTTCTCGATAAACTTGGTTATCTCTACATATATTTTATAACTTTGTATTTTCTAGTTATAAATATTTTCTAGTTATAAATGAAATGATGCCTTTCTTTTAGATTTGAATTAAATTTTTATCTAATAAAAACAGACCAACTTGTAGAGGCCCCTCCACCACCCCCGCCGAATTCTTATCGACGGTCCTCTTTTCTTTACAATTTGATTTCTTACATTTTTATTATTTTTTATTTTTTTTAAAACTTACTTTACAACACACTTACAATATTATAAAAGAACTTAATGACATTATAAATTTAAAAATAAACTATCTATACAATACCTACAATATTTCTCTCGATGTATATGAAATATTCGGTATACGTACAATAACACGAAATGTTTTTTACGTAATTATTATATTAAAGTTATTGTTACTTCGTTAATTTATGTTACCTAATTTTTTAAACTATTGTATTATGTCCCTCTATCCCTGACCATCCGAATCCCTACCTACCCGTATCCGATTTATACCTAGACCTACCTACCCGTGTTTCAGCATAATGAACCTACAACTTTTTAATTAACCGCGACGCGATTTTCTAGAGGTTTGATTTGGAGTTTAACGCGCCCGTGAGATTTAATAGGGGTTTTACTCTCGCACATATGCGAGAATGTATGTTTATAGAAGCATAACTCACCCGAATTGTGACAAATCAAAAGAAATCAAAGTATACTTCGTAGAGCACCTTATTTAGGTACTCAATCAGAGTGGCCAATATTGACCACATACCTCGTCGTATTTAGTCCTTCGGTGGGCCAGATTGGACCTACCTTTCGTTGCTCCCGGCCATACAATCTGGTCATTTTAACCAGAGATCAGGAAGGAAGAAAACTCCTTCCATAGTCGGTTATTGTCACCGATAAATATTTCGTACGGTTCGAATATACGAGTGTCGAACGTATCGCAAAATGCACGACCACGAGAGGTTTATTAAAAGAAAATATTAATTCAAAAAACTTTACTGTATATACGAATTAAATTTAATTTTACTTCCGTTATTTATTTAAAAATATTGACCATCTTTTGGCCAAAAAAATTTACTTCGCGTTAGAGTGATTTTAATCATATTCCACGATAAATTAAAATTTATAATATGGATAAAATTAAATAATTAATTGAAAATTTTTCCTGAAAAACCGACCGCGAAAATGCAAAGATGCGTGTGATTATGCATGTATTCATGCGAGACGCATCTTGAAAGTATGTATATCACGTACATGTACATACACACATACAAATAATATTTGTATCGTTTCGTACGCTGTATTGATGTTATAAAATATATAATCTTCAAATTTTTCGTTTATTAACGTGTGAAGATATGACAAAATTCATTAAATTTGAAATAATTATTTTCGTCACAATATCAACTATACACAGTACATTCATATACGTAATATTTCCATACAAGAAACTGAAAAATAAGATCAGTTAAAAAGTAAAAATTAATATTGTCCGAATCGCGACAGTATAACAATAGCTGAAAAATAAGATAAAATTACATATTAATTTCTTAGGCCGCTCTCGGGTTTCTCTCTGCTATATTCGAATGTGTGGGTAAAACAGATGACTTTAGGATCCTCTTAAGAAGAGCGATTTTATCCCTTAAAAGTTTAGTTTTTGGCATCAACTGAAAATATCTGAATTTATGAATTACATTTATACAAATTTTTAATGAAAATTTTCCGACCTACGAAATTCCCTGGTTAGATGATTCCGAAGTATCACACACACAATTTATTATTCGCTGATGGGTATAGATTTCCAACAATCGACGAGATACTGACCAACATAAGATAAGTCACCGAGCGAGAGTAAAGAATGTAAGTCACCGAAATATTAAAGATTACTGGTATAGGATCATTAGCAAATAGAAACTAATCAAAGACTGCTGGAGAATAAAACGTCGATGAAAATGAGTATAAATATTTACGAGATATTGGAATAATTGTAAATCGTAAAATTGACAGCCTGTTTTATGATTGATAAAATAAAACAAATAAGATTTAAAGAATGTAAAACAAATATCTTTGAAATTTAATGTCTCTTGCATTATGTTAGTTCGAATGAGAATGATATTAGAGGCGTATAACGTAATTGAATAGTTAGTTGTGTTTAGTTATCCGTGCATCAGACGAACAATGCGACAGGAGTACAATGCAACCCACATGCACGCTGCTTCGATTGTTCTACGTTGAAATGCGAAAGGATACTCTTTCAACCGTTAGGGTGAAATTAATTCACGCGGATGAGTTTCTTCCGCTTTTCTAATAATAATAACCGCGAAAAGCGAAGAACCGTTACAATGACAATTGTTCATAAATGTCATATGTATTAAAGCACTACGGGAATCCACCTTCTTGATATATAAATTAAATTTCATACAGCTGAAGGTAGTGTTTTATAACGATCGTATGTTATCGGCGTTACTTGTGATAAGACGAGATAAAGTAAAATAAAATTGCTAGATATAAGTATCAATAATTGAAGTCGGAACATTATTTTTTAAATAAATAATTCTCGTGATTTCAAAGATTCTCAATTCGCGCAGACCATTTTTACCGTAAAACGCGATCTTCGTGTTTCTTTACTGTTGATGGATTTACTGATGTCATATAGTAAATACGAGAAAACACACACGCATGCACACCAGTATAATATTTTTATTTTCATATGTGCTGTCACGCGATGTACGCATTCGAGAAGACGTATGCATCGGTTGCGTGCAGTCTGCCGTTTACCGAGTCATTGTACCCCGGCACGCACTAATCGCTATTACATATTCACGTTGCATTAAGGCAGGTCGCTGATACACGTCGGCGAAGCACTTTCGAGTAGGAAGCGACTGGCTCTTGCCTCATCTTGCTCGCCACGCAAACAGAACGCGGATCTTTGAAAGCAAATCTTTCGCAGCGAAAGTCTAGCGATCGTAGATTTCCGCCGAAGATTTCCGTTCGGGCGAAAAATTTTCTTAACAAGCGAGTGGAGCGAGAACTTCCCGGGGCGCGTCTTCCTCACGTATACGCGAAGAGTAAGACGATCGTGCGGTGAAATTGTTTTCGCGAAGCTATCAGCAGGTGCGTCAAGTTGACGTGAATAGAGATCGTCGGTACCTCATTTCGATATTTCTCTTTGATATTTCTCGGTGCGAGAGAGAAGTTGCACATAGTTGCACAAATTAGAACAAAACGCTGACGTGGCAGGCGTCGAAGTGCCACGGTAGATTCGATTTTGCACAAAGGAGCGCGCCAGTAAGGTCACTGTTGCAGAGAATGACTTGCCTTCAGTCTCACACGATGCGTGAGTCACAAAGTTACGGCACAAAAGGAAACGCGCCGTCCTGAAATGGATCGTTAAGTTGATCATCTTGCACCTCCTTTTGCTAATCACCTGTGATAAATCATACTGAACTAATGGACGACGTGCCGCTCGCGAACGCTGTTACGACCCATTACAATAATTTGCGTTTAAATTGCTCCAAAGACAATAATTGATCTTCCGCATACGTCAATGAATTTATCACGGAATTATTATGTAAAATATATTTTGTTTTACGCGAAATATCTTGTAAATTTTTATCCGTTTAAATTATTTTTCTTTCGACGAACGAATTCCCGCATTGTCATGTGCACCTGACGGGGAACATGTGCGGGTATTTACGTGCCAGCTGGACAGCCAGCTTCACATTTGCCTGTCGCTTCATAAGTCATTGCCCTTCTGACGTACGATTCTTATCGTTAGCATGTTTTTCTGCGACGCTGATCCGCTAATATGTGATAGTTATGCGGTATGTCGATCAAAGTAGATAAGTCATTAGTGAGAAAAGAGGTTGAATCTTCACTGCTAGATAATCGCATTGTTAGAGAGAATTTTCCAGCGAATTTTCCAGCATTTGCACATGTTGGCAATAATCAAAATTATAATAAAAAGTTGCTATAATTTGCTACAAAAATCCTTGTAGAAAAAATATTGGAATATATTAGCGACATCTTTCGTTTATCTCTTATGAGTGTGGGATGAAATTTTTGATGAATCATGAAGCGTTTCGGGAGCGTTGTTACTCGGAGAGACGACGCAGCGTTTTGGGACACAAAGCTGCTAATTTGCTAAATGTAGTTAAAGTCGCGCGCCGCAGCCTCTCGCGCCGAGTGAGTGTTAAGTTGCGCTTAATTCTTATGTGCGATCGCGAATTCTCTGGCACGGTAGAATGTGTTACAGCCGGCGATGCTGCTGTGGATCCACGCTGCAGGAGGCAGTGACGTGTCGAGAGTGGGGGCGTCTAGCTGACTGGCCGCGCGGAGCGAAACTGTCTCGGCGTTTGCCTGCACGCCGTCGCTTTGACAGTGGTGTAACAACCTTCGTGAGCGCCGTGCCGTGCCGTGCCGTGCCCTGCGTCGTGCTGCGAGTCAAGAGAGAAAAAGTACAGAGCTGCCGCGGTATTTTCGAAAAATCGATCGCGCCGCGCTTCGTCGAGCGCGAGGGGTCGAATTCGCGGTCCTACGCTCGAAAGTTTAGCGTGCAGAGCTGGCAACGTGCTTTCGTGAATCTCTGTCTCTCTTCGTTGAACGTTCAATTAAATTATAGACGTTTCGCTAGTGAGATCGAGAAGACACCGTTCCAACTTTTTTCCCCCCGACGAGAAATTCATCGCGAAAGCGCGATAAGCCGTCGCGGGCGTATTTTAAATGCTCCTTCGCGAGACAGTAGCGCGCAGCCGAGCGGTGTGGGATCGGTTCGATCGATGCTCCGCCACGGCCAAGTGGGACCGATGATTTTAAACACGCTCGCGGACGTTTGAGTAAACATTAGAGACGAGACAGTGTTGGCAGACACAAGGGAACCATTATTGCGATCGTCCACGAGCACGTTGTGTGCGGTCTGTGCACGTGATAAAACGTTATCTGTTGTGACACGGAATTTTTTCGCGGCTACGAGACGAGAACGGTCCTTTTCGGGAAGTCTCGGTGCGGTTTCCTGTCCGGCCCAGGGTACCGGAAGTGCACATTAACCGGTGAAGAGGAGCAGCGATGCATTTGGTAGCGCCTCGTGATAGAGTCTAATCGTGTTCTATTTAATAACTCAATTATAACAATGCCACGGCTCGTCTCGCTTCGTCTGGAGGTAAATAATTCTTTTTCTTCGCACTTCTTATGTATACATCCTGTGCGAATACCGTAAGTTACTTGTTATTTGGAACGAACGCTTGGATTAGAAATTTTACGATTAAGACGTGCGAGATTTATATTAAAAGAAAGTATAACATAATTATATGTGAGAATAATGCTCGATATAATATTCGATATAAGACGCTCTAAGCTTAAAATATTCTATCTATGTTGTTACAATTTTCTTGATCTTATCAAGAAGCACGTCTGACCGTGCACGTTTGATTGACTAATCTAAATCGCGAAAAGCGATTAAATAACTCGTTTAACAATCTTCTTGTATTCCCATGTTTTTACGTGCTGTCGTGTAGCCGATTAAAATACGGATTATGCTTTTATCGCTCCATTTTTATCGCGGTAATCCGTAAGCCATTCGCCTCACTCTTAAGGAAGCCACAAAATAATGCGTCTTACTTATTCCGTGGTAAATATCTCCAGAAAAATAGTGCGCACGCAGTTAAAAGATAATGTATCAACGGCTGTCGTTCTTATTATTTTTACATAATATAAAAAGCCACTTCCTTATGTATGCCACGATAAAAATCTTTCAATGACACAAAGAACGTAATAATAAATGCACGAGATGATTCACGAACTTGAAATTGCACTGCTGAATAACAATCGACACGCCACTTGATCATACAATTTTCGCTTGAATGACTTACATATGATTTACTTGATGACGTATCGTTCCTCGGTTCCGCAATGTCTGCATAGATTCAAGGATTTGCGGGGTTTGTATGTATAACAGACTTTCGTGGAATTAATTTTCACATAGAGGCAAATCCTAGCACGTACGTTCGCTTCGGGCACGCGAAGGATAAGACACGAAAGCAAAAAGAAGTCGTTATACTTGATACACGTGGAATTGTAAATTTTAGCCTTATACATACCGATAAGCGATAGGAATCCGGCTTCCTCAGAGTTTCTCCTATGCTTTGGGGAAATTTCAAGTTTAAAGAGAAAAACTCCTCGTTTTCTGAAAAACTTCCTTTATTTGCTTCCTCGCATTTGTTTTTCAGGTAGAAAGCTAACATGATTACGGAAGCAGAAAACTTATTAACAGGAACTTGATGCACCGATTTGATGCACAGTAATGAAAAGCGTGTTCGTTCCGATCAAAAAACTAGTAAACTAGAATCTAATTGCTTTGGAATGAGAGAAAGGGCGGATATATCGCGGAAAACGTTTAATTAATACAATGCAAGACAAGTAAATCAAAATTATTTATATTATACAGTTAATTCTTGTGGTGTCAGCTCTGCCGGAATATCTCGACGAATTAATGTTCGCACGAATGCAATGTGTGGAATGCATGCAATCTCATTATATAGCTCTCACGTAATCAATATTCAACGCAGACGCTGTCACGTATCGACAGTTCCACTTATTAAAAATATTAATAATGCATATATTATATATGCAATCGCTGGTTAAACGTGAACATTTTCTTGTGCGTTACAATCTTTATTCAAACGTATAATATTTTGTTGAATCTTAGTATATGAAGGGCTTTCAGGTCGCAGAATCTCTTTTTGAAGTTGAAATTAAAAAAGTCAAAATGCCAGATCTAGCATTAAATTTTTGAGGATATGTTTATTATCTGTTCCCTCCCAGCATGATTTTTTAAGTGTTAATTTTAACTGATATCTTGTTTGCAATTTATTACATGCTTCAGTGTCGAATGGACTAAGACACCCTTCCCGGATAGTAGGGATGTCCAAGTTCGAATCCTGGCTGAGGTAATATTTTTCGTATTAAATTATTTATAGATTATTTCTAAAGAATGCGTAATTAACATCATTAAATTGATTGTCAGTTTGATTAAGTGTCACTACATCGATACTTTAACTCAGGGCAGCGTCTCAAGACTAAAAATTTCGGCGCGCAGTTTGCCGCGGTGAGAAAAAGATTGTATACGAAAAATAAAAGCCACTAAGATTCAACTTGACCGTCACAGGTCTTTCTACTATTATTTTGTATAATTTATTGTTAGTGTAAAATAATTAGACATTCATCTCCAAGAAATAGAGATATCAAAAGTGTTATGCAAACTAATTACGAAACGCATAAAAACAAAGAAATGCAAAAAGACAGGTGCCCTATATGGAATGCTATGCAGCAAAGAATTAATTTGTAAGCAAGCACGAGGTTGCATCGAACAATTGTCGTTTTTGTAAAGGAAGGACTTTTATCGTATCGCGAAGGAAACCGCGAAACTCGAAACGAGCAGGTCGATTCGAGCGAGGTCGCACATCGTTCGCAACGGTCCCATCTGTTAAAGCGATTAACATCGCTGGCATTGCGGAATAGCCGAACGATTTTCCTGTTAGGTCGCTTCCTTGCACCGGGGGTTTGAACTTGGAAACCGCTTTTGATGCACAATCATCCATAAATCTGTCAGTCGTAAATGTAATCATGATGCAACGACAGCGGATGTTATACTCATCACCAACTCAGACGTGACAACGTTTGTTTTCTCCGAGCGCTTTGCTCGCCTTTTCGATTCCGCTCCATTTCGCTTGAATTAACACACAAAGAGCCTGCGTCTCTAAAGAGGTTGAGAGACTTAACTTCTCAATTAAGATGTTTTTCCGCAAAACGCATCGATTAAATCTCGAAACACCTTATTAAACAAGCTGACGCTTTAACTTTACACGTTTGTTATTGATCGCAGGTCAATCGTGAATTATTTAATTGCCACATCGGTCTTTGCCGTTAATTAGAGCGTGGGCACACCTACCGACAATTAGCAAGTAGGTCATTCGATCGTTCGCTAGGAACGTAAAGGGGAAAGCATAAGCGCAGATTCATCAACTGCTGACGGCATGTTTCATCGATCGGATGGTATCATCGAAAATTCCGTATATAAGCCAGGCGAAAATCGATTCTCTATACAGCTCATTAATTTTCCGCCAGGAATTAAATTCGCTGGTGGAGATCATTTATCTTCTGGTGAAAAATTGCAAGATCTTAATAAGAATTTAACGTGAAATTATGTAAAATATAAAAAAAATATGAAGAAATTTAATGGCGTTTGGCGAAATTTAGTAATACTCGAAAATACTTACGTCTTCTAATTTCTTTAGATTTACTTATGTTAAACACGATATATATTTATTTATAATAATCTAAAAAAAGTAAAAATTTTAAAGAAACGTATTTTAGTTGCAAACAGGAAGCTTAAAAGTATTTGATACGCGCGTCATTATTTTAATTTCAACGTTACGGAATATGCAATATGCACGGAGATTATACGCATCACGATATTACGTAACGATCGGCAAGCGAACGGAAAAAACGAGAAGCCTGACAATTTCGAAAACTCTCGAAAAATCCAACATCACGAGATTAATATGCCAATATAATATTGTATATAGTAATCGACGAACTTGTTGATTTCGAAGAACGCCATGGATATCGGAAAACACTTTTAAATATTGTATGTTTCTACATTTGCCAGATGGCAGGACGAGAACCAAAGCACTCATAACGCAAGTAAACTTTGACATCTGAACTGTACACGAATTATTTAATTAAACGTGAAATAACTAAGCGACATATTACTCGTAATTAATTGAAAATAAAACAATATAACATCTGCAAAGCGTCTTTATAAATTCATTCTTGGCGAATTTCATTCGAATAAGAGCTAGAGTAATCGGTATTCTAACATTCGAATTGAGGACCGGAGATACTCAACAGCACTGGGGTGACTTGGACAACATTGGTTTGAATTATCTTTCATTCCATAACCAAAAATAACATATTCATTGATGCGCTGTGCGTGAAATGTAGAATGGAAGATATTTTATCTACTTGACTGCGTAAGATAAGTCGACTATCAACGTTACGTCACGCGCTAAATGTTAAGGGTACTGAAACGGATACCGTGTCCCTGGAATCTGAAATGCGGCTTGGTGTACGTACATATATATGTGAAATTAGACCGCCGCAACCGTGCGTGCAGTCGGAGCTTTAATGTTTTATAGTGCCACGCGGGCCGTTCGCTCCAATTACGAATCCACTTTGTGCCGCAATTTTCGATTTTCTGGGTCAATCCCGGCATGTCTGTAATTTATTGCTTTCATGCTTAAGACGTTTATGTGATTTCAGATAATACTGAAATGACAGTTAACGTTCGTCATGATATACATCTGTAATTTGTCGATTCTAACAACGTTCCTACCGAACAAAGACGTATACTTTAATATCCCGCGTCCTAAATTAAAAAGAAATTGTTTTTATCAACGTAACTAAACCGACATTTTTTTATGTTCGAATTAAACGTTTCAGGCTCTCATTATGAATCGCTTTCCCCGTTATCAATGAGAAATATTCGCGCTAATAGCACGTTTTTCACCACTCATCGCTCCGCTTTCGCTTCTTTCCTGCTTTCATTTACAATCAAACGTACGCCGATGCTCGTTGACGCATACGTGCGTACGACCGGAGGGGGATTTTACTTGGAGGTTTCCTGTCTTCGTCCGGGATATGACGATATCCCCCCTGCTTGGCCAGTGGCGTAAGCATTCAGAAAAATGCTGCGATCCAAACTTCATCTCTCAGCCCAGAGTCCGAAGCAACAAAGAGATTATTCGTATTTGTAGCCGAAAAGTATTGCAAGATGATAATAATCTTGTGCGTTTAAATTTATATATAAAAGACAGGTATGCGATTAACATAGATTCTTCATCTCTCAAATTATTCCTTAAGATAGCGTTACATAAATCGTGAAAAAACAAATTGTACTCTTCATATGTATAAATTCATGAAGAACAAATGGCATGTTATGTCATTAATTTCACAAACAATGTGCATTCTTCTCGCGCGTTTAACTCCGCGAATATTCATACGCTCTTTTAATTCATCACGCCGTAATTAATTAGCAGTCTCTGTAGTACGAGTTTACATTTCCTCAGGAACTAGACATTTTCTCGTGTCTATTCTTGTTCCCATTATTGTTTATTTTCAGCCGCCACAGAGAAGAGACGCCATGTAATTGTCGTCGTTGTGATTGTCGTTTAATAGACGTGAGAGACTTTCTCATTGGTTAGGGAAGTGCAATTAAGTAACGCAATACTAAGTTAGTAATCGAATTAAAACAAATTTTCTTAAATCCACTCTTGGAGATATTAGAGGAATCTGTGGGTTTCTCGATCGTCAGATCTACGAGAAAATTATCTTCTCTTTTAGTCCTTTTTTACATCCTTATCGTATTTATCTTCGTTTCGAGCTTATCAACGACATAGACGTAACGAGTTTCCTTTGAGGGTATCCGTAAAGGGACTCTTTTCAATCGTGCATTCCAGCAGTAGAGATAGCCTTTAAAATCGTTGCGATAAGTGGGTTACGATGTCCTTTGGGATTCAAATAGCTATCTCGAGTCCGCAGAAGCCGTGCAATTTGCCTTTTCAGCAAATCGAAGGCACGCCGGTACTCTCTCTGTTCGACTCGAAACTGCTTTTACGGACTCTCTTGTGGAGCGCCGATTACTACACGGTCCCGCAATGTATCCTCTCCGTTCCCCTTGTTTATCGGACACATCGAGTTCTCGTCTCCGCGCATCAACCCCGATAATTACTTCGCTCTGTCGATAAAGAGGGCAGGGTCACCCACCACGAGGGAAGCTGGAAGCCGACGCTTAGGCCGCGAAGATGCGCTACTGCGTGTCAAGCGTGTACGATTTAACGAGCACGTCGTGTCCTCGCGAAGACACGCACCAAGCGCACTGTCTCTTACGTGCCTCGGTGACATTTTAGTCTCGCGCACGTTTACCATATTAAGCGTGCGCGCTAATGCGTGCCGGTGTTCGGACACGCTTGTCAGGACCACATCAGTCCTCGTCCGGACGACGTCGTGACTAGAAACGTGATGGGGGGAAGGGGACAACTGCGCGTGGTAAGTTATTTCAGAGGAAAAAATTCAAACGGAAATTAGAACCTTTTAATTGGCGATTTTAATAAAAAGACGATCGAAATATAAATCCATTGGGTTCCGAAAATACAACGGGGGACACACGAAAGAATTCTAAGATACTAAACAGGAGTAAAACATTTTCTTTTGTTTACATTACATGTAAAACACGTTTTGCCTAACACGCCTTCGATCCGAATTAAAAATGTTGTAACTACATGTCAGAGAATTGAAATTGTTTCGGTAACTTCGCGTTGAACTACTGAATATTAAAAGGCAAATTATGCCTCATATTTATGAATGAAGTCAACCAACATTGATGAAGTCGTGGTGCGACTTTTGCGCCTCCTTTAGCGTCCGTAATTAACATGAAAATTTTAATTAACACGATGTTCATTAACATGATAAGGTTTGCGAGACCTTCAATTCTGATACTTCTTTTTTTAAATATATGGTCAGATCTATTTCCTCCGCCCATATATATAACATATTGTAGGCACGAGTCACTAACAATATTTTTTGTGATCAGGTTACGCTTGATGACATTTATACAGTCCACTTGACTGTGCCTTGACACACTCAGACAAAAAAGAAGATATGACTTCGTTCTTTTTTTATTCTGTATGACAGAAGCAAACGCGTGCGATGAATTAATTATATTCTTTGCGTGTAACGAATAATTCAAGAATTCTATATTTTGTCGGAAAATAATTTCTTAAATAAAACTCCTATCGTTTTCAATACAAGACAACAATTTACGACAGAAAATTTGTTTCACCAATCAATTTCATTTGTCTAGAATAAACATTTCTGCTGTGGTCAGAAG